AAAAAAAAGATTTTTTTTCCTCTTGAATGAGGGGAAAATTGACCTCTGGTGAGCAATGTAAAGTTCTGGAACGTTCAGAAAGTACAGGCTGAACATCTGTAGCCAGCAACTTCATGCTATAACCACATGTCCCGTTGGATGGTGGATCCTTTTGTTTGGGGCGATAACTAGAAAATGTAAACCAGTTCCTTGGAGGCAAATGTGAAAGTTCAGAGTTAAAGGCAAAGATGGCAAAGTGATTCATGCAAGCTTGGAATAATCTGTATATTTATATTTAAAGTGACTGTAGCCAGCACAGCAACACACACCTGTAGTTCCATCCACACAGGAGGCTGAAGAAGAAGGACTGCTTGAGTCCAGGAATTCATGACCAGCCTAGGCAACAGAACAAGGCACTGTACAACAGAACAAGGTACTGCAAAAAAAAAAAAAAAGGCACAGTCTAAAAACAGAAAAGTGATTACAGTGGTTAAGAGAATTTGTCACATTTAAACATCTAACATCACTCTTGTGACTCCAAATTAAAATATATAGCTGTCTGACTTTTAATATTTTCAGTAGAAATAAAAAGATAATTTTATAAAATTATGGAATATTTGTGAGGACTTGAGGGTCATTATAATTGTAAGTTAAATTAGTTAGACTGTAATGGAATGGTCTAAGTGCTGTGAAAGACATTGCTGGTCAGGTCAAGCAACAGAAGAAATAAAAATATTCTAAAGTTATTTCTGATGTAATTAATTGTAAGTGCAACCACTTGTTTAAAGGAGTTGGGCCTCTTGAATTTTAATCTGTTAAACATTAATTAAAGTTCTCATTAAAAGTAATTATTAAGGCCAGGCACCAGTGGCTCATGCCTGTAATCCTGGCTGCTCAGGAGGCAGAGATCAGGAGGATTGAGGTTCAAAGCCAGCCCAGGAAAATAGTTCGCAACACTCTATCTCGAAAATACCCATCACAAAAATAGAGCTGGTGGAGTGACTCAAGGTGTAGGCCCTGAGTTCAAGCCCCAGTACTGCAAAAAAAAAAATTATTAAAATGTATTAGGGCTCAGGATGTAGCTCAGTGGTACAGTGCTTGCCTAGCATGCCTGAGGCCCTCGGTTCAATCCCCAGGACCATAAAAATTAATTTAAAAAATAAAATGTAGGCTGGCAGAGTGGCTCAAGTGGTAGAATGTCTGCCTAGCAAGCATGAGGCCCTGAGTTCAAACCCCAGTACTGCCAAAAAACAAAAAATGTATTAGATTTATAAGTAAACTATTATTGAAGACTTAAGAGGAACTAAAATTTAAAATGTCATTACCTTAATAAGTTGAACATTAATTTTTAAAAACTTTGTAGCACAGTTTTTTCCTTTATATACTGCAGTGTTTCAATAAAATCTGGCATACCTGTTAGCTCTGAGTGACAGATGGCGAATAAAGGGCTAGAACAAGGCAGGGAGGGACCACGGTCTGCTCCCCCAGTCTCTGTGAAGATGTCTTTGGAAATGAGCTGTATGTCCTTGTTGAAGGCACAGGCAACAGGGAAATGACACCTGACCCAGAGGACTGGTTGGGAGCTGTGGAGTATTAGGAAGCTACTTCCCAGGACATTTTAGGAAGGGTATAAGTAAAACTTCAAGTTTTCAAAACACAGTAGTCGAAGCTAATTGGGAGGCACAAGGCTTGTTAAGTATATATCAAAAACGTACACTGCATCCCGAGAGTCAGATTACAGCACAACACGTCTTAGCACTGGCTCCCCGCACCCCAGTTCCTCACAGGGTGCTAGAACGAGGAACGACTGTTTACCTGTGCATGCAACAGGGATTCTACCAAGGAAAGGAACTCCCAAGGGCTGGCAGAATAACTCAAGTGCTACTGAGGTCCTGAGTTCAAACCCCAGAATCACCAAAAACAAAAACAAACGAACAAAAAACACACCTCCCAAAACATGAGACTTGGGGTAGCCGGTATATCTGGTGTATCTGCCCTCCTCCTCTGGGGGTGGGGGGTTGAAAAAGTTGTGGGGAGAGATAGCAAACATTCTAAAGTAAAAAATCCTTTCCATTAAGGGGATGAAAAGTCCTCGGGTTTTTTTTTTTGTGTGTGTGTGTGTGTGTGTGTGTGTGTGTGTGTGTGGTACTGGAGTTTGAACTCAGGTCTTCAGGCTTGCTAGGCAGGCGCTCTACCACTTGAGCCACTCCACCAGCCCTTTTTTGTATTGGGTATTTTTGAGACAGGATAGGGTCTCTGAAACTATTTGCCCCAGGGTGGGCTTTGAACCACAATGCTCCTGATCTATGCCTCCTGAGTACTTAGAATTACAGATGTTAACCACCAGCACCTGGCTGAAATAGTATTTTTTGGGGGAGGTACTGGCATTTGAACTCAGGGCCTCATGTTTGCTAGGCAGGCATTCTATCACTTGAGCCACTCCACCAGTCCTCCCAGGTTTTTACAACCCTGGAACATATCCAAGGTCTTCAAAGGAGATGAGACGGTGTTTTGTTAACTTTAAAATGTGAGCAAATGGCTCTAGGAAAGGTGTGTTTTTACATCTCTCTCCAGAGCAATTCATTATCTCCAATTTCCAAGATAAGACCACGTTATGTAGGAAGGTGAGTGTATTCATGGACACTTACTTATCATTGAACAGGGGACAGGCAGACCAGAAGCACTTTTACTGCCTTTGCCTATGAGCTTATCTCTAGCCCTCCCTGGGTCTGGTATCCTGTCATTGAATCCCTAGCACCCTACACCTACAATAGTGCCTGACAAATAGCAAGGAATCAACACTTATATTTCTGAATGGATTAACTATGTCTAAGGGGATACAGAGCCAGTGAAATTCTTTGTGGTGCAACCTTCTTTCTTTAGTCCTCTAGCCAAGTATTTCTCAAATTTTAGCTCTTGACACCCCAAGAACACAGATCCACAGGCTACAGTGTGAGAAAATCCAACAACTCACTGGATTGAGTCACAAATAAACTCCTGTGCCTTTATTTGGTTATAAGGTGATTGTCCACAGAGGGGCAGTAAAGTGTAATGGTTTACAATTCAAGTCCCACAGCCTGTTTTATCTCGTAAAACATAAAAATGACAAAATATCAATATTTTATGGGGGAATTGTTAATTCCCTGAAAGAGTTTTAAAAATTGGGCAAGTTGCCGGGCACCGGTGGCTCACACCTGTAATCCTAGCTACACAGGAGGCAGAGATCAGGAGGATTGCAGTTTGAAGCCAGCAAATAGTTAATGAGATCCCATCTGGAAAAATCTTATCACAAAAAATTGGGCTGATGGAGTGGCTTAAGGTGAAGGCCCTGAGTTCAAGCCTCAGTACTGACAAAGAAAAAAATTGGGCAAGTTATATTATCTAGCTACTAACTGACATGAAAACTATGCCTTGTAATGCTCTGTATCTTGGGTGGGAAAGTAGCGTTTTTGCCGTGCTGGAGTTTTAAAATTATAGTCTTATTTATTAATCTTTTATGGCTTCCAAGTTTTGAGCTACACTTAAAAAGATTTTTTTCTTATTGTGAAATAATATTAAATGTCTCCATGTTTTCTTCTAGTGCTTTTGTTATTATACTGTTCAGATTTAGTTTTTGATTCATCTGGAATTTATTTTGGTATAAGGTGTGAAGTATGGTTCCAATTTAATTTTTCTTCCAGATGGCTACCTAGTCATCCCAGAACAATTCACTGAATTCATCATTCTCCCACCAATCTGAAATGCCACCCCCATCACATTCAGAGGTGTTCTTGTTGTTTTTTTTTTTTTGTAGGATATAAAAGACTAATATCTTTTTTCCTCTGATTTGACTGGAAAGGTCTTCATGTGCACCTTCAAGTCCCCCAGGGCTTATTGTTGCTTTAAGACATTTAAAAAGTTGTATATCATGATCAACATGACATCCCAACAAGATTCTAGCCTGGCTTCCTGAATTTGTCATTACCAAGCTCATTTCAGCTTCTTTGAGTGTACTGCACACAACCTTCAAATATTATGAACATTTCTCTTTCCCAGCTGTCACTACACCAAAGTGCATATGTTACATTTCCCTAAATCGTCTTGCTGTGCTCTTTGCAGTTCTGTACACTTGTTGATGTCTTCATGAAACAAGTTGCTCAAAAGTTACTATAATTATTTTAGGTGAAGACTCAGCGAAAGCCTATCATCACAATCCAGTTCCTCCCAAAATGGGCATTAATTTCCATGGAACAGGACGGACAGGCTATGTTTCTGGAAACAACAGATTTTGAAGAGCTATGGCAAGTTATTTGTTGACTAAACAATCCACCTGGGGGGTGGGGGTGGGAGAGTCCTACAAAGTGCCAGCTGCAGTTGTGGGAATTTTTTGCTATTTTATTCCATCAAAATTATTCAGAAGAAAAAGGGTCGCCCTGTACCAGGCCGTGAACTCAAAGAACTGTTTGCACAGATACTCATCCAAGATACATTGCAGCCTCCACCTCAACAGAAGCTCTTTCCAATGTTTCCCTACTGTCCTCAACAGTTTCTATTTAAGGGGCAGAAGGATGAAGCAGCAAGATGGCCCTGCTGGAATGAAGGACTGGCCCCAAATTTCCACTTAAAACGGAGCCAAAATATGTTTGCCTTTGGTGGTCTATTTAAAACTTCACATTAGGATGAAGAAGAAAAGTACTCTCCATCTTGAATGGCCCCTGGGTATTTCAGTCACAGTGGCAAATGGTAAGAGAAAGAAGAGAGGGGAATCAGGAACTCTAAAGAACAGAGCCTGGGATGGAACGCTTGGAGAGAAAAAAATCTTGGGCAGGGGGAAAAGGATCCCCATATTCGACCTCCTACAAGCTCCCAAATTCAGAGCCCCACCTCAGAGTCCTCTCCTTGACTTCACCACTTCCTTGAGCCAAGGGGCGCCCCCCACCCCGCTTTCTTCATGCACCAGCCCCCCCACCACCACCTCAGCACGCTTGCTCCATAATGCCCTCCCTCATTGCTGCATGTCTCCCCCTGGACGCTCCTTTCAGGATCCTAATAGCTCCCCACACCTCGGCGCCCCGCCCCCCCGGGGCCCCGCCCCCTCGGCGCCCCCGCCCCCCTCGGCGCCCCCCGCCCCCTCGGCGCGCGCCCCGCCCCCTCGGCGCCCCGCCCCTTGGTCCGCACTCCGCCCACAGCGGACGCACGCTCCCGCAGTTGTCGTTTGGCGCCAAATCCTTTGGTCCTTGACGCCCGGTTGTCAGCCTGGGCGTTCCTGGTCAGAATTAGAATCCCCCGCTCGAGTGAGAGGGCCGTAAGGCATTCACCTTGAACGAGCGGGGAGACTGTGGGCGAGAGTGGGGGGTGAGTGGCGAAGAGAAAGCTCGAGAAGAATCTGAGGGGCAGCCCCAGGGGTGGAGAAGGCGCGCCGGCATTCCCCCTCCTCCTTGGGCGGGCGTGGCGGGACCGTGCCTGGTGACCCGGGCGTCGCCCTCCCGGGAGGGACGGAGCCTCCGCGATCCGGGAACGCTCGGGGCGGGGCCCTCGGCCTCCCCGGAGGAGATGGGCTCAGGAAAATGGCGTTGCCCGGGACGGGAGGGGACACGGGGAGGAGGACGGGATAATCCCGGCGGGCTCCCTGTGCGGGCGCCATGCCTGGAGGACGGCGTTCCAGAAGGTTCCGTCCGCCTCGCCGCCTGCTCCGCCGCCCTGGCGGTTTGTCGCCCGACCGCGGCATCTCACGAAATGGAAGAGACCGAGAAAATGATTACTGCATTCTTCTCTTGGGAGGGGGCAGGAAACCGCGGCTCCGAAGTCAGGCTCTGCCCCTGGAGCCACCTCTCCAGCCAGAGCGGTTTATTTGGACCAGATTTTATTTTAATGGACGCAGTCGTGGTTTGTAGCTTCCTGATGTTTAAAATTCCAGAGTTAGAGACTGTTTAGCTTCCTGTCCGTTGTTGGGCGTCCACCACATTTTTTACATATAAAATCAGGAAGCTAGTAAATAGGGTGAAGTGAATATAAGGGGTGTTTTATGAAATAAAGAGTCGTGGCACCGGACCTCCCACTCGCAGTCAGCACGCAGGAAGGCATCCATTAGATCCAAGAGAACGGCTCAGTCTTTAATGAAGTGGCTGTGTTTGAAGTCCCAGGAAGGATACAAGGAAGAATGACACAAGGCCAAGGTTCTTGGAGAGTTCTTAAACATAAACCTGAAAGGTTAATAGCAATAAGCAATTCCAATTAACATTCCAAGAAACAGTCATTTCATAGTCGTGATTAGCTGTGCACTACCAAATCAGAGGATGATTTAAAAAAGAAAAAGGGATCAGGGTCCAGGAAAGAAGAAACTAAAGTTTCCCTGCCTCCCCAGCACACATAAAGCCCAACAGAAAGAAGATGGACCAGCCTAGTCCTTCCATAGTGTTCTGCTGTCCTTCCTGATCTATGGCGACCTTGAGAAGGAATCAGAAGAGGTCTCTAGGCAAAGGGTTCTTTTTTCTCAATGAACGATGACTGTGTGTGTGTGTGTGTGTGTGTGTGTGTGTGTGGTACTGGGGCCCAAACTCAGGGCCTACACCTTGACCCACACCCCCAGCCCTTTTCTGTGATGGGATTTTTTTTTTTGAGATGGGTCTCTCCAACTATTTGCCTGGGCTAGCTTTGAACGATGATCCTCCTGATCTCTGCTTCCTGAGTAGCTAGGATTACAGGCATGAGCCACCCATTCCTGGCCTATGACTACTTCTGAAATAATATTTCTTATTTTCCCAGAATTGAATATTTTCTGCTGCTTCCCTTTCAACATGAAGGATGATCAAGTTGTGCTGGAAGAACCAGGAAACCAATATGAAGAGGTATGACTAGAATGTTGAAAAATTCGTAGACAATTCAGTTATTCCACAAAAATAAAGTTTCTTGGGTGGAAGTGTTGCAGGAACAGTACAGAAAGTATGACTGACCATCGAGAATAAGACTCAAACCCAGGTGGTTGGAGGAAAGGAAGGTTTATTACGCTATCAGGCCAAGCACCTGGATATCTCCAAAATGACGAAGGCCCCGAACTCAGGACAGTTGAGGTTTTTATACTGAGAAAAGCTGCAGCAAGCAAGCAGGGAGTACAGAAGCAGACTTGGCAGTTAGCTGTTCAAGGTTACAATATATCATGTCAGCACAGCTGTGGATAAAGGCCATGGCGGTTTCTAAGAGATAACTGGATGCAGGGTCCCCAGCTAGGGGAAGGGCTTTAACTCATCTTTGATCCTTTACCCAGCTTTGATCTTTCTCTGGGTTTTCTTATCAGAAGGTGTGGCCAAAGCCATAGAGCACCTGCCTAGCAGGGATGAAACTCTGAGTTCATTACTGCTAAAAAATAAATAAAATTAAAAAATCAAGTGACTTGTCTGTAGCTATTGTTAGAAACTGAAAGTAGAAGATATATGTTACAAATATGTAACAACTTGTTTAGCAAAGGGTGCTAACATTGGCTACTTAATAACTGATTACATCCTCAGCCCTGTAAGAAAGTATTTTAATAACTAATGTGGCATGGTGGCTCATGCCTATAATCCTAGCTATTTGGGAGGCAGAGATGGAGAGGATTGCAGTACAAAGCCAACCTGTGCAAAAAGTTCACAAGACCCCTTCTCAACAATGTCTGGCTGTGGTGGCACACGTTTATCATCCCAGTGACTTGGGGAAGAACAAATAGGAGGATGGTGATCCAGGCCAGCCTGGGTGTAAAGTGAAGACCGTATCTCAAAAATAATCAGTGCAAGAGGGGCTGGCAGAGTGGTTCAAGTGGTAGTGTGCCTGCTTAGCAAGCATGAGACCCTCAGTTAACCCCTGGTCAACCCCCAGTAGTGCCAAAAAAACCAAAAAAAGTATGGCATGGCCAAGCATGCCATTACTGAATAGCATGCTTATACTGAATAGCAGCCTGATCTTTAGAAGAAAGACATCAAGATTGGGGGAGGAAGCTCTATGTTGGTGACTTAGCCTGTAATCCTAGCTACTTGGGAGGCTGAGATTAGGAGGATCTCTGTTAAAGGCCAACCTGGGCAAATAGTTCTTGAGACCTCCATCTCCAAAATAACCGGAGCAAAATGGTCTGGATGGGCTGGAAGTGTGGCTTAAGCAGTAGAGTGCCTGCTTTGCAAGTGTGAAGCCCCAGGTTTAAACCCCAGTCCCAGCAAAAAAAATGGAGAGATAACATTTAAAATAGGTCAAATGTTGTTCCACTGCTTTGGGTAAAGGTTTTAAAAATTAGGGAAGCCATGGCAAAGGTAATTGAACACCTACACTTTCAACATTGGTGCTTCTTACTAAATAAGTAACGTGTCTGAAGAAGCATTAGTGATCCCAGCTAAGTCTTCCTACACAAGTAGAATTTGAGGCATTTTGGAGTGGCTTATAGTATTAAATTAACTCTTTTAAAATGTGAAACATTTGGATATGAAGAATCAAAACTCCACTTTTTCTGTTCTTTCTCATTTAGGAATCTTTGTTTCAAGACATTGACCTATTACAGAAACATGGAATTGTAAGTAGCTTTTCAATTTAAATTATCCAATTCAGTTTCCCGGCGTCAGTCTTATTAGCATTTAGGACTGGGTAATTCTTTGTTGTGGGCGTCAGGGTCCTGTACATTGTATGGTGTTAGCAACATCCTTGGTGTTCCAGAGCAACCTGCTCTCAGTGTGTAGGATGCAGTCCCGAGGTGCCATGAGACCAAAGAAAAGAGGCAGAGAGACCCAAGGTTGCTCAGAGTATAATCTGGGGGATTTAATGACAGAAACGCCCTGGGCAGCAGCAGTACCAAGTGGATCACCACAATTTGGGGTCAGAAGGATGGGCATATATATATTGGTTAGGACAAAAGTGCCTTCATCTAAGGCAGTGTACCTGATTTATTTTAACCTAATATGAAAGAGTTAGGCACATTCTAGGGTTCAGTCATAAAGCTCCATCCACACACCACTCTAATGGTTTGGTCTTTATAGAATACTGGGAAACTATGCATAAAAAACAACTAGTATTACTCTTGGGCAATCATGACAGTTACAAGTCAAGATGGCTGCAGTCATGTCAAGCTGCATCTACACACCTGAATCTATACTCACTTGTTACATGCCAGTAGCACCCTTCTAGCTGTGACAAAAATGTCTACAGACACTGTCAAATGCTCCCAAGGGTTGAAATAGCCCCTGACTGAGAACCACTGATTCAATTAGAGGTGTTCAGAGATCCCTCTGAACCCAATCCCCATCTTTTTATTTGGACAATCTAACATTAGGTAGATAATGTCTTCATTAAAAGAAAATTTAGTTCTATTTGTCAGGTAAGTAGAGTAAATGATACTGGCAGAAATGGGGATTTTGAATAACAAACTAGATAGATTTCAGTAGCAGTCATTGAAGTGAAACTCAGCTGCTCTTGTATTTTGGAATCTTCATAGTTAATTTGTCCTCATTGGTTTTAGAAAACAGAAACAAGAGAAAATCCTGGTCTTTTGATGATGTAGTTATTTGTATTCTCCAGAGGCAGAAGGAAAAAAAAGTTGAAAAAATTTATAGGAACATATTGGTAATGAAGTTCTGTAGAAGGAAGGAGCTGAACTGAGGGGTAAATGTGTGATCAACTTGTTAGCTTTTCCATTAACAGTCTTTTCTTTTGAATTCCTTGTTTTATTGCCATGGTCTCACTAACATTCTTGGGAAATCAGGGCACAGCTAGAACATTTAGAAACCTGCTGGGTATGTTCTACTCAGATATTTCCAGAACATTTGGCTACGTGGTGGGTGGGTTCCACCTGGCTGCTTGTATAAAATTGGCATCAAGATGGAAGGAGATGGACACAAAAGCACATGACAGTATGGGAGCATTTCAGTCTGGCATTTTATCAATCTGTTGCACTCATTCTTTTATTCACAGAACGTGGCTGACATTAAGAAACTGAAGTCAGTAGGAATTTGTACCATCAAAGGGATACAAATGACAACAAGGAGAGCCCTCTGCAATGTCAAAGGACTCTCAGAAGCCAAAGTAGATAAGATTAAAGAGGCAGCCAACAAGCTGATTGTAAGCAAAATTCATTCTTTGCTGTTTTAGCTTAGAAGGGACTAATACCCTTTCTTGTTACAAACATTAGAAACTATTATAGGAACTGAGTTCCTGTATATTGAATATATTATACCCCCCATTTTAACATTTTATCACTTCAATTCCAAAGCAACCACAATTTATAAAAGGTTGAGGGGTTTATGAAAGATAAGGGTTAAGATGCCTGGAAAACTAATGAGGGTAATTATCTTTGCCCAAACTCCTTTGTCTCTCTTTATACTGCTTCTGGTTTTCTGTTCTGCTGCCTCTCCATCTCTTACTTATTTATCTATTGTCTGCCTCTTCAGTATTGTTTGTCTTCTCAACTATGCTTATGGCTGTTGTGAAACATCTGGTATTAAAGAAGTTGCTCCTTCCTGGTATAGGTCAATTGATAAGAGAGCACTGGGTTAGAAAAACGCTAGCAGTGGGTGGGTTTACATGTCTGCAGTTGATATAGATATGACCATGAATTCGCTCACTGAGGCAGCTGAACTAAATAACCCATACCATCTAGCTTGAGCACAGACTGTGAGCGGTCCATGCAGCTGGTAGGCTGCCAGACAAAGGCATGTATGCCTTTGACACAAGGTTTTTGGGGTTTTTTTGGTGGTACTTGGGCTTGAACTCAGGGCTTCATGCTTGTCAGACAGGTGCTCTAGAACTTGAGCCACACCTCTAGCCTGACCGAAGCTTTTGTATAAAGTTTTTAGGGACCATTAGAGGTACCAGTTCTGGGAAAGTGAAGACAAGTAGTTGCCAGGTCTCCTGCTCTGCAGAATATCAGACCTTTGCATTTTTTTTTATTTCTGAGTTCATTCCTAGTGAGTCTGGAAGTTTACTTCAACAGCCCTTTGGTTTCCTTCTTCAGAGGCAGTCAAAGCAGGAGAGTGATACAAGTGAGATTGTGGTTCTAATCTTGGAGAGGACCTAGATGAGCTTCTGTAAACCCAGCCCAGTTTCTCTAGCTTCTTGATCCACTCAGGCACTGCATCCACAGGTCAATTCCACAACTGCCAGAGTGTCTAAGGAAGCCTTAAAGCAGTAACAAGTCTTTGGGAAACTGCTGCTTGTAGCTTATAGACATTAGTCCTTTTTTTCCTTTGGAAACTAAATCTCACTATCAAAGAGAAGACCCCTGCCCCGTTTTCTCAAACATCCTTTTCTGTACCCAAAGTCTTATCCTTTCTTAGCTGGGCCTAGGCTTGCTCCTTCCTTCCAAGTTCTCCAAAGTTTGAGACTCACAATTATAATGTTAGACAACAGAGAGTGAAACACATTTGACTACATAAGGGCTTGTTTCCACTAGTTCTACCACTGTATCAGCTGTAGCTCATTAATTCAGCAAATAATAGTATATCTACCATGTGAAAAATGTCATCACATAAAAGTAAAAAATGGAATTTCTGTACTCCACAAAACTTCTAGATCTGGAAAAAATGATGCTGTTGAATGAAATCAGCTAAATCATTCAGTAAAATATGTTCTGCCTTGTGCCATAAAATATATCTCATTTAATCTTCACAGCTACCCTATAAAGAAACACCTCTTATCCCCATTTTACGCTAACTAGGAAGCTGAAGTACAGCAAGATTAAATAGTTTACCCCATATCATACACCTACTAAATACTCTATAGAGATACAGTTCAAACCTTCATATGACAACTCTAAAGTCTGTTTTTAACTATGAAATCTGGTATTGCTTCTAAAGATAAGGCAACGATAGCATATACCAAAAAATGATCTTGATAATCAAGCATGTAGTTTTTGACAGTATTGAAATTCCAACCATCATTTCATGCTCCTTTTTAACCTGTCCTTTTATCTTTCTGTAGGAACCAGGATTCTTAACTGCATTTGAATACAGTGAGAAGAGGAAGATGGTTTTCCATATCACCACTGGGAGCCAGGAATTTGAGTATGTATTTCACATTTTTAATAATCACTAAGCACACTCTTTGGAATGCCATTTTAAGTGCATCTTTAAAATGCTTTTTTAAAGATAAGTTTAACTTTTCTTTCCTTTCTTCATAGATGAAAAAAAATTTGCCTTTTGGGTTTACTTAAAAACCAGTTATTACTTAATATTTTAGAATAATCCTGTATTGATCTTTCTCTTTAGCAGGGGCAGTTTTAATATCCCTTTTTGTTTGTAGTCTTGCGCTACCTGAGATGTATCATCATTTTCCCTGTGGAAATTGACTACAATGTGCTTTTGCCCCTGCTAGAATTAATCTTTGAGCAATTAGGACAAAAGCAGCAGATCTTTAAAGTTTCCTGAAAACTCTGACCTCATAAGATACTGCAAGAAAAAATAATTTCATAGTCAAATCTGTATCCATTTGGACAAGCAGCTAGATCTCACAGGTCCAGAAACCAAACTTCACATCTTTGCTACAAATCTTCTCCTCCTGCAGGTCCTCATCAGATCCTTTTCCTGATCCTTAAACTTAAAATTTAGCTGTCATCCTCCCCCTCCATCTCCTCTCACCTAACTCTAATCTGTTAACCAAATCCTTCCTGCTCTGCCTTCATACTATGTTTAGTCAGAACAAATTACCCAATTTCTCCAATAAATAAATTACAACTATAGACTCTGGGGCTGGCAGCATGGCTCAAGTGGTAGAGCACCTGCCCAACAAGCACAAGGCCCTGAGTTCAAACCCCAGTACTAAAAAAAAAAAGTACAGTCTAGAAAAAAATAGAGATCAGTAAAAGGAGACTTAAAAGGTATAAACTGATCACAATATATATATCTTATCTAGGTCCTGATTCAAACACATATAAAAATAAAAGTATGTGTCATGGTGTGTGCCTGTAGTCCCTGCTGCTTAGGAGACTGAGACAGAAGTATCACTATGCCATAAGTTTGAGAATAACAGAGTAACATAGGTAGACCCTACCTCAAAAAAAAAAAAAGATACTGTTGGAAAATTGAACTACCTAGGAAGACAGTTGATATTGAGGAATTACTAATTTTTAGATGTAATAATGGTTATGTGATTTATGTTAAAAAGGAGAGTCCTGGACTAGGCATGTAGCTCAGTGGTAGAAGCAGTTGTGTAATATGGGGCATCAAACCCTGGGTTTGATCCCTAGCACCAGGGAGAGAGAGAGCATCTTTTAGAGATAAATACTGAAATATTTAGGATGAAATGATATGTTGTCTATTACATGCTTAAAATAACATGAGAAGGGAAGGAAGTGGTTGGAGGTTAACATGAAAACGATTGACCCAGTGTTGATAGATGATTATTGTTGAAGCTGAGTGATAGGTACATGATGGTTCTTTATACTGCCTTTGTCTGTTTTTGTTAATGTTTGATATTTTCTGTATTAAAAGATTAATATACAATATATACTTTTTATGTACAGAGTAGGAATATGAATTCAACTCTTTCTTACCACCATTACTAGAACCTTACCACATATTTTACTTAAATACATATATAGAAATATACATCTAAAATATAAATATACGTATATATAAATATATACATGGGTTTGAGCCTCATACATGCTGAGCTACATTTCCAGACCTTTATTTGTATTTCTTTTCTTCTTTTTTTTTTGTAGTACTGGGGATTGAACTCAAGACCTCACTCTTGTTAGCAAGACACTCTACTACTTGAGCCACACACCCCCACCCTTTTTGCTTTATTTATTATTGGGATAGGGTCTCATGTTTTGCCTGGATTATGATCCTCCTAATTATGCTTTCTGCATACCTGGGGATGACAGCCATGTACCACCATACCCAGCTATTGGTCGAGATAGCATTTTGCTAACTCTTTGTCCAGACTAGCCTCCATCCTTCTACCTCCTGAGTATATAGGACTTCAGGCATGAGCCTTTGCACCCAGCCTACTTATATTTGTTTTCTGATCTTCCACTAGAATGTAAGCTCTGTGAGGTAAAGGATTTCAGTTTCTTTTGTTCTTTGCTTTATCCCCCCAAATAAAGTGGTATTCAGCAAATATCTATTGAGTTATAGGATGAATAAACACATAATGAATAAAGTAAGTTTGAGAAATATAGCACACTATATATTCTTAGAGATTGACAGTGTACATTCACCTAGGACAGAGCACCTATTTAATTCAGCACTGCTCCTAAACTTTTAAAATCACAGAACATTTTTTTTTTTTGCCAAGAGTTCTTGGGAAATCCTACTCTAAGGTAAATTGGTCAAAATTAGGTTGATCAACAAAACATTTGATTCCAGTGACAACTTGATATTCTCTAGTTACAGTACCTCATGGTGGGTTAAGAACCTTTGGACTAGCAGAATTATTACTGCCATTGTGAGTTTTCTGGTGTCCTTGATATTTGCTTTGGGGTCCAGAAAAGAAAGATTTTTTTAAAATAATGTTTTGACACATTGAAATGTTACGCAGCTTTCCTTAAGCTGTAAGCCCATTTATAAATCTAGAAAATTCTAAGAGAACTTTTATAATATGGTTAATTAAATTCCCTTAAACATTTTAAATCATACTTATACATTTAGTAGTCTGTATTTCATCAACCTAAAAAGAAACTCACAGAAACAAGTGCTATATAATAAATAAATTAATTTGTAAATATCAGAGAATTATAGTTTGGGGTACACAAGCTTAGCAGTCCACAGGTATATCCAAGGGGTTGGCATGGGGGGTGGGGAGAGGTCTTTTAAAGATAAAGAAGTCTGTGGAAACTGTTTTAAATCCAAAGGTTACAGGAGTCTATTACAGGAATTGATGTTAGCTTAGTGGCTGAGATAGCCATTGCCAAACGTGTGTCCTTATACCAGCACTTTATCTGGAAACCTGGAATCATTCTTTTGTACTGGCAACTTTCATAATTTCCTTTAAGAACTTTGTCTAATTACTAAGAAAAAGTCTTCCCAAATACTTAAATATGTTTTTCAAATCTAATAAACTTAGAAGTATATATAGTGAGACTTAGGTACTTATAAATGTTCACTACCCAGGCTTGGTTTTGTTTGTTTTTTTTTGCAGAGCTGGGGTTTGAACTCAGGCCCCTGTACTTTCTAGGCATGTGCTCTACCACTTGAGCCACATTCCCAGCCAAAGGAAGAAATTTTTTTTTTTTTTGCAGTACTGGGGTTTGAACTCAGGGCCTCACACTTGCTAGACTTCCTAGACAGGCACACTACCACTTGAGCCACTCCTCCAGCTGTAAATATTCTGATACTGTTTATAAACTTGGTTGTCAACTTAAAAATTACAGATCTACTTCATTTAATTCTCCAGAGCATATTCTGTTATTATTTTTAAAAAGCCAAATTCTCTTATACTTTAAAAGTTCTCAAATACCAAATATGCACAGATTATTGCCAAATTTACTATGAAAATAGTAATCTGTGGGTTTGATTTGTATCCCTGTTTAATTCTCCCTAGGTTTAAAAACACTATTTCTATACCTAATTCTAAATTTTCCTGAGTTTCACAAAGGAAACAGTTTTCCCAAATAATTTGGGGTACCTTCCATGAAAATTTTGGGGTTTCTTTTTTAGTTTATTGATACTACATATCAACCAGAAATTTGTCTGATCTTTTCCAGAGCTGTAGGTTCTCAGGGTCGTTTTCGTTAAGATGAGGAGGGACAAGTAAAACTCTCTGTAATAATTACCTGACTTGAAAGATCTCTAAGGGCCTGGCTTCCAAATGGGATGATCTCTCAGCTCATGTCCTTTAGATTCAAGTCATGCAGGTTATTGTCTAGATTTTTTCTTTTCTTTTCTTTTCTTTTCCACTGTGCAACCCACTTCAGTGCCAGCAGCCCACAGGCAGAGGCCAGGCAGTGGTTCTGAGCTACAGTTTGCTCTGGCATGTGACATTATGAGAGGCACAGGGGGTAGATTTTTCTTTTCTTAATTAAAATCTGCTACCCTCACTTAAATTTGTAGATAACTTCCAAAATTTACATTTAAATTTCTCTCTTAATTAGGTAAATATAAATCTATTCTCTTAAGGTTTCATCTGATTTATAACGACATCCCAAAAGACATGCAAATCAAAACTACAAAGGTTTTTAAAGTGCTCCTTCTAGGTCTTGGCACAGTTAACACAATATTTATTGTATTCAATGAATGAATGAATGAATGAGAGCATGACTTAAATTTTGTTCCTTTCATATCAAGAACATTAAATGCACTAAAACATTGAATTACCAATTAAATATATGCTATCAAATCTGGAAGTTATTCTTCTGTTAGCATTACCTACACCATCTTTGAGCATTTTCTGTTCTTCCATATTCTTCATAAAATTTGGCTTATGTGAGTTAAGCCAACCATGGTGATGATCACTGGATTCTCCTAATATCTGTTTTTCATATATTCACTAGCATATTAAAAATTGGATGTTCACTTGACTTTTAGAAATATTGTCCCTGCATAATTAGAAAAACCCACTTAACAACTTAAGAGCATTAGCCTGGAAATGTAACTCAGGTAGAGTGCTTCCCAAGCATGCACAAGGCCCTGGGTTCAATCCCCAGTACCACAAAACAAAACAAAAAACCTAAGATTGTATATTATTATTCAGTTCAAAAAAATAGAGGACATAGGCCTTATTAGCTCATTTACTATTGATATTCACAAGTAAGAGCAGCAAGGCTTACAAATTGCTTTGTTAACCCACCTGCCCATACACAGTAGAACCTGTGATCTGAGCAGGTTGAGTGCCATTTGTTCAGCCAAGGATTCCTGTTCATGTTGGATAGATAGACAGACAGATAATGATACAAATTCTCCTTTCTCTATACCTCTGTCTCTATCCCTGTTACTAATGCTTACATCTACTTGCAGTAAGTTGCTAGGAGGTGGAATTGAAAGCATGGCAATCACAGAAGCTTTTGGAGGTAGGTAGAACCTCAATGCTTTTATGTAAAATTATATGTGTGTGTGTGTGTGTGTGTGTGTGTGTGTGTGTGTATGTATATATATATAACTAAAACAGTCATAAATCAGTTACTGTTGTTGGAATTTAAAATGAAAGCTTAGTTTTTTAGACTACAGGATCATTCTGAGTGGCAATGAAAATACATACTAACATTAACAGTTCTTTATTTGGTGGGACTGGTGTTTGAACATGGCTTCAGGCTTGCAAAGTAACCACTCTTCCACTTCAGCCATGCCTCCAGTCCATTTTGCTCTGGTTATTTTAAAGATGGGGTCTTGGGAACTATTTGCCCAGGCTGGCCTTGAACCTTGATTCTCCCAGTCTCAGCCTCCCAAGTAGCTAGGGTTATAGTCATGAGCCACCAGTGCCCTGCAACAAATAGTTCTTTTTGACCTTTTTCACCCTTTTATCTGATTACTATAGAAAAAAAATTTGTGCTCTTATTCCTTTAAAAGGTAGTTGAATAATGAGGTTGATCTTATGTCTTGACAATGCATATTCCATGAACATAGAGATTTGAATCTCTCTTCCCTTATATTATGTCTTCCATATATTTAAAACAATTCATACATAGCTATATTACATACCACATCTGAAAATTCAGTATTTTTAGTCCTTGGGGAACTAAAAATCTGATTTGTGGTTATTGATTCAGTTGACTTTGGGAACTAAACCTGCTTTTCATCATTTCTGTTGACTCGGTCCTGGTGGCTTATCTCCTTGTATATTTACTTTTTTTGTGCGTTTACTGCTTAATTTTTTAAAATTCATTTATTCATATGTGCATACATTGTTTGGGCCATTTCTCCCCCATGCCCCTGCCCCCTCCCTCTCCCCTCCCACCGCCTCGCTTCCAGGCAGAATCTGTTCTGCCCTTTTCTCCAGTTTTGTTGAAGAGTAGACATAAGCAATAATAAAAAAGACAGCATTTTTGCTAAGTTGAGATAAGGATAGCTATACAGAGAGATTCCTAGCATTGCTTCCATGCCCAAGTGTATTACAACCCAAATTGATTCATCTCTACCTGACCTCTTCACTACTTCCCGGTCACCTTCCCATATTGATCTCTGTCATTTTAAGGTTACTGTATCAGCTCCTCTACTGCTTAATTTTAATATACAAAAGTACAGTGGAACTGGGTGCCAGTGATTCATGCCTGTAAATCCTGGCTACTCAGGAGGCAGAGATCAGGAGGATCATAGTTCGAAGCCAGCCTGGGCAAATAGTTTGTGAGACCCTATCTCAAAAAAACCCAATACAGAAAAGGGCTGGTGGAGTGGTTCAAGATGTAGGCCCTGAATTCAAACCCTAGTACCACAAAAAAAAAAAAAAAAAAGATGAGTAGGGAAGTTTTACTATGAAGAGAATTTGCTTCTGCTGGTAACTAAGAGATGCTGCCAGTTTGAGATTTCTTCAGCTACCCCTTGAGGATTCCAGGTCAATGGGGGAACCCCAGCCTGTCCTTCCCCTGTGATGGAGGTCTTTACTTTCATTTATGTGAGAATTCCTATGGAAAACTTGTTATAAATTAATTTTCATCTAAAGGACAGTTCTGTGAAAAAAAAAAACCCTTAATGTTTTTTTCACTATTAGTATTCATACATACAGAGCTCATTTGTAATACAAGAGTTACTGCTACACATATACTAAATTTCAAACTTAGAAGATTAGCAGGGCCCCTGTGTTAGGATGACATGCAAATTCATGAAGTGTTGCATATTTTTTTAAATTGAAAAAAAAAAAAGAGGTACTTTAGGAGTGAGATTTGATAGTTGAAAAACAGTAATTCTGAGGCTTTTTTTTTTTTCAGTACTGGGGTTTGAACTCAGGTCCTCGTGCTTGCGAGGCAAGGCTCTACCACTTGAATCATGACCCTAGTCCCTAGCCCCTGAAGCTATTTTTTAAATGAAAGTATCTAAACACTACCTATAAATCGGTTTTTTTAAATTACCTTTTCTGTATTTTACAGAATTTCGTACTGGAAAAACTCAGCTCTCTCACACCCTCTGTGGTAAGGACACATGATAACAATAATGTAACAGTAATAATCATAACTTTCACTTAGTCAACATCTGCTCTCTACCTGGCACTTTTACATAATCTCATGTAATCTGAACAAACTTGCAAGGAAAATAAAGTTCAGAGAAGCTAAGTAAACAATGCCTGTGGTTGTTTAGATACTAGAGCTAGTTTTTGAATGTGTGATATTCAAGATGCTGTTATGAACACCTGAGACAAGGTTAAGTGGATTATGAGTGCATAGGTACAAGGGCTATCCACTCTCATAATTTTCCCACTCCATCTTTTCTTTATCTTTTTTTTTACAAGAATCACACAAAATCTACTTAATCTGGATTAAAGTTGGCCCTGAGAGAGACAATTTTTTTCTAAATTAAAACAAATTTTTCTAAAGCAGAATGAGCAAAGATCTCTTTTTTCACACTTCTTTTACTTATGTAGCAGGAGCATAGCAAAGTAGTTAAATGGAGCTTCTGGAATCAGAATGCCTCAGTCTTGGTTCTACCATAAGTAGCTGTGTGATCTTGGGCAACTTAGTTAACCCCTCTAATTTTATCAGTAATGTAGAAATAGTGACAGTGCCACATCTTGGGATTGTTTTGAACAGTAAATGAAATAATAAAGGTACCTGGTACAAAGTAACTCCTTAGTGTTAAGTTCTACACTTTTAAATTTTTGACATGCATTAATGAAAGGATAACTTAAGTTATCTAACATAAATTATTTGTGATTATTTCTTTAAAATTAGTAATATTTAAATTCTGCTTCCATTTCTTTGGGAGAGCTGAGTTTCACACAGATCTCCCATTATTTCTGTCCTGGCAAAACACTTATTATTTCACCATTGGTTAATAAGATGACAATACAGCATGTTGTTTAGAAATTAAAGGATCATTATTCTTTGCTAAGTTTATTAAAGAGTTGCAATAAGAATAAATTAAAGGTTTATTTATTCATTTGTATAATGTTTATTCACTGCTATTAATATTAATTTTAATTGCTCCCTAGTGACAGCTCAACTTCCAGGAACAGGTGGCTACTCGGGAGGAAAGATTATCTTCATTGATACAGAAAATACTTTGTAACCCTTTTATTTAAATAAGTTGCTAACATAGTGTGATATAGTAGTGGTACAACAAAAGAATTTGTTTGAAATACATCATTTTTATAATCTCATAAACCAGCAATAATGAGAATAACCAAGGAGAAAACAATTAGGATGAAGTTCTCAAATCACTTCTTATTTAATAAGGTTTTACTTCTCCACATGGGCTTGGGCTTAGTATGAAATGAACAAAATACATACTTTTTTTCTTTTTTTGGTGGTAGTACTGGGGTTTGAACTCAGGGCTGCGCCTTGCCCTTGCTAGGCAGATGTTCTACCACTTGAGCTGCACTCCCAGTTTTATATTTTTAATCCTCTTTGCTTAAAGATTTTGCTTATCTATAGAAGCTCATTGACTCAGTCAACCTCATGGCTTTAAATAACATGAAAGGCATGAAGAGAGAGAAAGCACAGAAGGAGAAAGGATAGACGCTGTTTAGGTCTCAAATAAAATTCCAGTTTGATTGAAGTGTGAGGTATCCAGAATACAAGACTGGAAAGGTGATTTAAGTCTTAGCCATGAAGTTGCTTTGAAACCAGGTGATGAATGTCAATTGGATAGCTTTACAAAAATCTGGGCAAATAATGAGAACTCGACCTAGGTTGGAAGCAGTAGGAATAAAAAGGATAAAGGAACATTAGAGAGGAAAATTAATAGGACTTAATGACTGTATTTGTGGACAAAGGAAAGAGAGGTTTGAGAAACCACTTGGTTTTTATGTGTATGCTGAGAGCATAATAATGGAACTGAGGAGATCGTGTTTCAGGGGAAAGGAATGTTTCATTTTAAGGTGTTTAACATAAGGCATAGAAGTTACACAGATGGTAACTAGAAATGTTGAGAAAGGAGTAGAGCCAGAGATACGATGAATTGACCAGCAGGGGGGAGAAAACTTACAAGAGGGTAGAAAACTGAGAATATGTATTATTTTATGATTTATGTCCTCCATAATGCTTTGCATTAATAATTGCTTAAAATGGTAAGCAGTTGCATATAGCAATTGGTAAATGTTTATAGATTGATTTGAATTTCCCTTTTTTAGGTGTAATCTCAACTTTACACCCCAGTTCAGTATCCAGATTTTATAGAAACTAACATGAAAAATGTTTTTATTGTCTCTTCCAATTCCTATTTTCTTTGACCTGTCCATCAAAAATATCTACTAGATATATTCAATATCAATGGACTATTTTAGTGGCTATTAAGGTTTGAATATGAAATGACCCCCACAGGCTTATGTGTTGAACACTTGGTCCCCAGCTGGTAGCTGTTTGGGAAGGTTCTAGAAACTAGGAGGTGGAGCCTAGCTGGAGAGAGTAGCTCATTGGGGTGTGTGCCTTTGAAGATTATACCTGATCTTTTTCTCCCCCTGTGCTTCCTGTCTGCCATGAGGTAAATAACCTCCTCTTCCAAACATTCCCACCAGGATGTTCTGCCTAATCACAGGGGACTAAGCAGCCATACATTGAACTCTCTGAAACCATGAGGGAAAAGAAATTCTTCCTGCTTTAAGTTGTTCTTGCAGATATTTTGGTCACAGCTGTGTAAACATAAACATAATTAACACAGTAGCTATCACTAAAAGCTCTAAAGTCAAGAGTGCATTAGAATATAGATGGCTGGGAAATTCTAAAGACAAATCAACATTTATTAAACTATATGTGTCACAAATAAGTTTATAAGGGCTAGAGATGTAGCTCAGTGGTAGAGTGCTTGCCTCAAATGGGCAAGGCCCTAAGTTCAGACCCTAGAACCTGTCTGGAGGTGTGACTCAAGAAGTAGAACACCTTCATAGCAAGTGAAGCCAAGTTCAAACCACAGTACCAAAAAAAACCCCAACAGTACCACCAAAAAATAAAAGTTATAGTGTTATGTAAACAGAATAAACAAAAGCAAAGTGAGACCAAAGATATGCATTTTATTTTACTTCATTTCACTTTAGACATATTATTAGGATCATCAAAGAATAAAATGTTTATTGCCACTTTATAGCTTATAGATATTAGTGATTATAAGTATCTTCAATAGCATCTTTGCAGGTATACCGAATTTGCCTTCCTACAAATTTATCAATTTAAAAAGCTTCCTTTAGAAGAAGGTAGATTTTAAATACTATATAAGCCAAAAACTCTGGGTTTGATCATTTCCTTCTGGACCTTTAAGGTTACCTTTTTGATCCTTTAGTTTATGTGGTTAAATTTATCATTTGTTTGTAACACATGATTAACTATATATTAAACTATTTTACTTTAAAAAGATGAAGAGTCACTTCATTTTGAAGTGACTTCAATTATAATTCCATGATATTGCTGTTCTAGAATAGATCTATTTTTATAGAACTGAGAACAAAAGAGACTCACAAACCCTAGTTCTAGTTTTTCTATTTTAACTGTTTTGCTACATAATCCCAAATCATTTGCCTAATCTATTTGTCAGTGTCCTCATCTGTACAATATAATACAGGCCATAACAATTAGCTACGAAGCTTATTGTAAAGATTTGATAATTTAATATTTAAAGTCATTACTTCCTCATCATTTCTGTAATTTAATGTAAATAGAATTTACAAAAATTAAAATCTGGTCAGACTTTAAGTGATTACTAGCATCTTCTGTATACTGTTTTGCCTCTTTGTTACTTAGTTAAGGTATACTTTGTAGTAGTAGTTGAAATCTTTTTTTTTTAATTGATTTATTGGATCCTTAATCTTGGCATACTCCAGCCGTCCAGATCGCCTTCGAGACATTGCTGATCGATTCAATGTAGACCATGATGCAGTACTGGACAATGTACTTTATGCACGTGCATATACTAGTAAGAGCCCCATGCAGTTGGGTGCTTGGGTTATTGTAAAGTTGCCAGCACTGATTTATTTGAGAGATAACAACATTTTTATTTTTTTGTTTTATTTTACTTTTTTCCAAATTGGTCTACAAATTTTAAGTTAAGTTCTTAAGTACTATAGTGTCTTCAAATTAATTTCTTATTCTTAGTCTTTGAAATGCAGAGTAATGTTCTTCTTCCACCCCCTTACTCTTTCTGTGGTGCTGAGGGTTGAACCCAAGTGCACACTAGTTATGCGCTCTACCACTGAAGGATACCTCTAACCCCCAGAGCAACATTCTTTTGAGGAAAGGTAGCACCTGCTTTGTATGCTTGAGTCCAGCTCAGGCATGAACTGATACCCTATCTCAAAAAATGACCAATGCTGCTGGTGGAATGGCTTCAGTGGTAGAGCACCTGCATAGCAAGCCTAGCAAGCATGAGGCCCTGAGTTCAAGCCACAGTACCACCAATAAAAAAAAAAAAGACCAGTGTGAAAAGGGCTTGAGTTGCAACTCAAGCAGTAGTGCATCTTCCTAGTAAGTGCAAGACCTGAGTTCAGACCCCAGTGCTGGGGATGGGAGGAGAAAGAAACCAAAGACTCTTATTTGCCTGACTCCCAAAGATGTGAATAACCTTAGCCTTTGCTTCTAGTTTTTCTAACATTTTCTTACTGCAAATCCCATTAGGTGAACATCAGATGGAGCTACTTGATTATGTAGCAGCAAAGTTCCATGAAGAAGCTGGCATCTTCAAGTTATTGGTATAAGCTTTAAAATATTGCTCACTCAAAGAACTGTTTAGCATATTTTTCTACTAATTCTATTTAAATTGACTTCTTCCTTCCATTTCTAAATGCATATTTGTTTTTATATTAATCCTGTTCAGATCATTGATTCAATAATGGCACTTTTTCGAGTGGACTTCAGTGGTCGTGGGGAGTTGGCTGAACGGCAGCAAAAATTGGCCCAGATGTTGTCACGACTCCAAAAAATCTCAGAAGGTAGGTAGATTTATAAAATAAAATGGCACTATCATAATAGCATCTATGATTGTGTTTCTTAGTGTCCTTTGCTGATAACAAAAGAAAAAAAGAAGGTAATATTTAAAAAAAAATAAAGTTACTAACTTAGTAGGTGTGATTGGGAGGATTGCACTTCAAGGCCAGCCTGGCAAATAGTTCATGAGATTCCATCTCCAAAAGAACCAGAGCAAAATGGATTGAAGATGTGACTCAAGTGGTAGAATACCTGCTTTGCGAGTACCTGCTTTACAAGTGCAAAGCCCTGAGTTCAAACCCCAGTCCCACCCAACGAATAAATAAATAAATAATACAGTTACTTCCATGGGACTACAACTCTTTTTTAAGTAAAAATATTGATTCTGATGTAAATAATAACTAAATTAATTTTTATTGTCAAAATAGGAATATGATCTTGTTTATAAATTCATGGTGCAGTATTCCTAAACTCTGATATATTTTTAAATGAAAAAGTTTCAGTATAAAGAGTCACATCATGATAAATGATAAAGTTAATGGAATATCCTTCTCAATACATTCAGCCTTTGGGTTTTTTTTGGTGGGGGGTGACACCGAGGTTTTGAACTCAGGGCTTCACACTTGCTAGGCAGGCACTCTACCGCTTGAGCCACTCCACCAGCCCCTGCATTTTTTTCTATTCTCACTTACTTGCCACTTTTCCTCAATATGTTTCCATTATTTTTCCCATCTACAGTTGCCTTGACAAGATTCCTCCCCAACAGTAGTATGAAAAGCTAAACTCAAAAATCTAAGCAGTGAACTTTTATATTTTTATTGTCCTTCTCTTAGCATCTTAATTTTATTTCTTGATGCAGAATATAATGTGGCTGTTTTTGTGACCAATCAAATGACTGCCGATCCAGGAGCAACTATGACGTAAGCCCAGTATTCTTTTTTTGTATTTCACAGAGGTAAATATCCAGAGGGTTAGAATGTAGAACAAAATAATTTCAAAATAATCAGCTTTTAGCTGAGCATGATGGTGCACACCTCTAACCCCAACACTTGGGAGGCTGAGGCAAGAGATTTGAGGCCAACCTGAGCTACATGGTATGACCCTGTCTCAGAATACCAATAAAATAATAATAGTAATAATCAGCCTTGGTGTGGGCACAAATGTATCACAAATCACTTTAATGTACAGTGTATATTACTTTCTAATTGTAAATAGCACTCATTTGTTATCCAGAATCTACTTTTCTGTAGTTCTTTACAGAATAAAGCAATGGTTTAATCATTTTCAGTAGTACTAGGGATTCCAGTTTTGTCTAAAATTAAAGGGATATGGGAGGGCAATAATAAAAGATCCTAGACTATCCCAGGCAAATAGTTCACAAGACCCCCCAAAATAACCAGGGAAAAATGGGCTAGAGGTGTACTCAAGCAGTAGAACACCTGGTTTGGAAGCACCTGATTTGAAAATGTGAAGCCCAGTCCCACCAAAAGAAGGAGGAAAAAGAAAAAGATCCACATGCATGAATGCTATCTGTTGCACTGATAAGCTGCTAGCCTAAAAACAAAAAAGTCAGGCTTTCTATCATGATATACACGAGATACTTATAAAAGAAGCCCTAGAGAGAAATCTCCTGCTTGGAGGAACAGAATTTCAGTCCATATGAGGCATATTAAAAATTTGTTGAAGTATTTGTGCACATAAAGAACTACAGTGGCTCTCTTTGAAAGGTGACAGAGAAGAGAAAGGTAAAGAGACCTAAAACAGGATAGGAAAAGCAAACAATTGACAGGAAAATTTGTTGTCACCATCCAAAATGTTGAGCATTATGGGTCTCAGTACACAATAAAATAACGAATTCATGATAATGACTTTTTAAAGATTTTTCTTTCTTTCTTTCTTTTTGACACTATAGGGGTTTTAAACTTAGGACCTCATATTTGCTAGGCAGGCACTCTATTACTTGAATCACATCCCCAGCCCAATTTTTAAAAGATTTTGAATGCAACTTTTTATTTAGGAAACTCTTTAACCAGAGAATAGTTGCAAGATGAGTACAATGAATACACATACATCATTTACCTAGGTTCATCAATTACTGATTTGTCACAGTTGCACACTCTCTCTCTCTCTCTCATGAGTATGTGTGTGTGCTGGTGTGTGTATCCATAAAATCTCTGTCTATCCATACAAACACATATTCATTCATACATATAGAATTTTTTATGTGAACCATTTAGGAGGTGTTTTTTTTTCTTTTCTGATCATTGAGAATTATTTGCAGACACCATGAAACCTCACCTCTTAATACTTCAGCATATCTTTTCTAGGAACAAAAATATTCTCCTATAGAACCACAACAGAATTACTGCATTCAGTAAATTTAACATCAGTATAACAGTACTATCTAATCTGAGTTGTATTCAAGTGTCTGCAATCTTTCTGATAATGTCCTTTACAATTGTTAGGAGGTTTTGTTTTGCTTTCAATTTAGGATCAGTGGAGGACCAGTTTAGTCTCCTTTAATCAGAATACCTCCTCAAATTTTATTAGATTTTTATGACATTAATGTGTTATTGTTGTTGTAATCACATTATAATCGTAATCATTAGGCTTGATGCAAAATAGCAGGCCACATGTTTTGCAATGTTCCTCAGTTTGGAGTTGATTTTTCCCATTATATAAAATGTAAAACACTTTTTTTATTTGATAGTACTGGGATTTGAACTCAGGCCCTTATGCTTGCTAGGTAGGTGCTTTACCACTTGTGCCATGTCCCCAGACCTTTTTGTTTTAGTTATTTTTTGTATAGGGTCTCCATTTATGCTTAGGCTGGCCTGGATTGTGATCCTCCTATTTATGCTTCCTACATCGCTGGAACGACAGGTGTGTTCTACTGTGCCCAGCTTTTATTGGTTGAGATGGGAGCTCAGAGAACTTTTTCTCCAGGCTGACCTCCAACCATGATCCACCTCCTTAGTAGCTAGGATTATTTAAGACACTTTAGAAAAGAAAACTACATATGTGGAATCATAGCCTTCTCAATATAACATGTCAGGAGGCACATGACGGCAATTTGTCCATTATTAGAATATAAGTTTGACCAGGTAATTAAGGTGGTATTAATGGCCGGACACTGGTGGCTCACATCTGTAATCCTAGCTACTTGGGAGGCTGAGATTGGGAGGGATACAGTTTGAGGCTAGCCTAGGCACATCGTTTGAGAGACCCCTATCTCCAAAATAACAGGAGCAAAATAGACTGCAGGTATGGCTCAAGTGGTAGAACACCTGCTTTGTAAGTGCAAAGCCCTGAGTTCAAACCCCAGTCCCACCAAAAAAAAAAAAAAAAGATGGTATTAGTGAGATTTCTTCATTGTAAAAGACAAAAATTCCTTTTGGAAATAATAAGGTAATTTGTGGACTTTAAGACTGTATGAACATCTGGTCCTACAGTAAGCTTTCACTATTTGTTTTAATATTCATTGAAGAGTCTTGCTTAAATTATTGCCTTGATGGTTGCAATACAAGTGATATTACTTTAAAACCAAAGTGGGCCAGACGTGGTGGCTTGTGCCTGTAATCCTACCTATTCAAGAGACCAGCCCAGCAAAAAAGTTAACAAGATCCCATCTCAACAAAAAAGTTCTCTGTGGTGTTATGTATATGTCATCCCAGCTACTCAGGAGGTATAAATAGGTGGATCATAGTCCAGGCTCACATGGGCAAAAAATGCGAGTCCCTGTCTTAAAAATAACTAATGCAGAAAGGACTGGGGGCCTGGCTCAAGTGGTAAAGTGCTTGCCTAGCAAGTGTGAGGCCCTGAGTTCAAACCCCAATACAGTATCACCAAAAAACAAAACAAAACAAAAAACCCACCCAAAACAATACATTATGAAGTAGGTAAAATGAGTCATGTGTTGTGGGTATGTGCATATGTGTGTATACTAGAAGATACTTGATACAGTAATAGAAATTCTGTAAAGTGTGCGAAATTGAATGTGTCTCTCTTTAGGCATTTTCTAAACTTACTCTAATAGTATTGCTGCATCTTCTGCAGTTTGGTTTATCTTTCACTTTTCTAATACCTTTTATGAGCATTTTTTACTTAATGACAGGAGATTCCAATGTGAAAAAATATCAACTACCAATTTTTTGTTTGTTTTCAAATGGGGGTTTAAACTTAGAAGTTTGCACTTGCAAAGAAGGCACTCTCCTGCTTGAGCCACACCTGTAGTCCATTTTGCTCTGGTTATTTTGGAGATGGGGTTCTCTCAAACTATTTTCCTGGGCTGTCCTTGAACTTCAATCCTCTTGGTGTCTGCCTCCCAAGTAGCTAGGATGACAGGTGTGAGCCACCGGCACATGGCCCACACAAATGGTATTAAGCAAGTTAAAAACATTGAGGAAGGGGACTAATGTATAGCTCAGTGGTAGGGTATGTGCTTATTCAATCCCTAGCATTAAAAAAATTTTTTTGAGGGAGAGAAAAATTCTTTAAATCAAATATTTTACAGAAATTCTATGTAATGAGATTCTGGGAATTCACTAGTGAACAAAAGAGACAAAAATCTTTGCCTCCAAACAGAAGAAATATAAGTGGTATCCATTTAGCCATTAAACTCAACATTTTAAAGTCTTGGTATAGTGCACATTATCTGTAGTGTAATCCTTGAGTGCTTAAGGCAATCTTCTGTCTTATGGGATCTTTCATACACAGGACATGAAGTACTTCACAAAGAGAATAATTTTAAACTGAAGAGGAATGGAAGATTTTCAAAGCTTGCTTTAAAAAGAGAAAATGACTCATTGGCTTAGAGGGAGGAAGTGGGTTGCATTCAAATAAAACAGTACAAGTTAAAGAGCAATGTTCTTTCTTCAGGTGTGGGGAGGGAACATCAAAGAGACCAAAACTGTCACTCTGGAGTTACAAGGCAAAATAAATCAGTGGAAATTAGATCAGATAGGGGGTTCTTTTTCTTATATTTGTAGAAAGTTTCAAGAAGAGTAAAACCATTTTGAATTTACTCCCATAAGACAATGAAAGGAGAAATAGAGAGGTGACAGAAAGAAAATAATTGGAGAGTCAGAAAGAGGAGGAGATTTATAAAGAAGAGAGCTAAGTAGAGAGCCAGAGAAGATAACAAAGACTTGTATTTTTACTGAGTAAGTCTGCAGTAAAACATCTCTTCCACCTAGCCAAGTTGTAAGGAAACAAGGTTCACTATAATTAGTATGTTCTAAAGTATATTAAATTATAATAGTACAGATTAAATACATGTCTTCATGTAAAGCACAGAAATTACTACATCTAAAGAAAAAAAATAAGGACAATTTCAAACTAAAGGAATTCAAATGCTATTAGAAAACCTCCCATAAAGAAAATATCTTTGTTTCTCTGTGTTGAGGAACTCCAAGCTGCAGCTTGCCCAGGCCTGTCAGAGAAATACCACTATAATTGGTATGAGTCCTCAAGTACACTGACAATAATTGAGGCTTATATCCCATGCATTATACTTGATGGCACATCGTATTAAAAAGGAACAAAATTATAGAGGCGAGAGCAGCCGTATGATACAGCAGAGCAGCAACTCCTAGACGAGGCTACAGATACAGACTTTAGGACTGGAAGGATCCAGAAGGATCTAGAAGCCTAGAGATAACAAGTCAAAGCATCAGCCTGGGAAACTGCACACCAGGGCAAATAATGCTCTGAGCAATAAATAAGATCATGAGAATGTCATCTTAGAACATTTGCAGTCTTACAAATGTACAATTTATTCTCTAAGGATATCTCCTAATGACTTAACATCATTAGCATAAATAGGAGGCAGTATGCTTAGAGGAAAAAAAGCAATAAACCAGGGCCACTAGCATGATGACTTTCTGCAACACATTTAGACTTTTTGAACCTCATTCCCTTC